AAATGAACTACTGGGATTTCATCAAGATAAAAAAATTTTGCACAGCAAAAGAAACAGTCCACAAAACCAAAAGACAACCTACAGAATGGGAGAAGATATTTGCAAATCACATATCAGATAAAGGGCTAGTATCCAAAATCTATAAAGAACTTATCAAACTCAACACCCAAAGAACAAATAATCCAATCAAGAAATGGGCAGACGACATGAACAGACATTTTTCCAAAGAAGACAACCAAATGGCCAACAGACACATGAAAAAGTGCTCAACATCGCTCGGCATCAGGGAAATCCAAATCAAAACCTCAATCAGATACCACCTCACACGAGTCAGAATGGCTAAAATTAACAAGTCAGGAAACGACAGATGTTGACGGGGATGCGGAGAAAGGGGAACCCTCCTACGCTGTTGGTGGGAATGCAAGCTGGTGCAGCCCCTCTGGAAAACAGTATGGAGGTTCCTCAAACAGTTGAAAATAGAGCTACCCTACGATCCAGCAATTGCACTACTGGATATTTACCACAAAGATCGAAATGTAGGGATCCGAAGGGGTATGTGCACCCCAATGTTTATAGCAGCAATGACCACAATAGCCAAACTGTGGAAAGAGCCAAGATGTCCATCGACAGATGAATGGATGAAGAAGATGTGGTATATATACACAATGGAATATTATGCAGCCATCAAAAGGAATGCGTTCTTGCCATTTGCAAAGACGTGGATGGAACTGGAGGGTGTTATGCTGAGTGAAATAAGTCAGTCAGAGAAAGCCATGTATCACATGACCTCACTGATAGGAGGAATTCTTAATCTCAGGAAACAAACTGAGGGTTGCTGGAGTGGTGGAGGGTGGTAGGGATGGGATGGCTGGGTGATAGGCATTGGGGAGGGTATGTGCTATGGTGAGCCCTGTGAATTGTGCAAGACTGTTGAATCACAGATCTGTACTTCTGAAACAAATAATGCAACATATGTTAAGAAAAAAGAAAAAGAAGAAGATAGCAGGAGGGGAAGAATGAAGGGGAGGAAGTCGGAGGGGGAGACGAACCAGGAGAGACGATGGACTCTGAAAAACAAACGGAGGGTTCTAGAGGGGAGGGGGGTGGGGGGATGGGTTAGTCTGGTGATGGGTATTAAAGAGGGCACATTCTGCGTGGAGCACTGGGTGTTATGCACAAACAATGAATCATGGAACACTGCATCAAAAACTAATGATGTAATGTATGGTGATTAACATAACAATAAAAAATTAAATGAAAAAAAGATACTATAAAAGTTCTTGCTGGAGGTGTCAGAAAAAAAGGCTGAAGGAGCATTTTCTCTAGGGCAACTGAACCACATTAGAGTGAAGATTCTCTTTCTCTCTCTCTCTCTCAATAGAGATTCATATATATCTTTGTGAACCTATATATAGATACATGCATGTATGATCATATTCATTCATTCAATGAATATTTATGGAATACCTATTTGGGATCAGCCAGTGTTCTGGTCTCCCGGAAGGAATAAAAAGATAAATACAAACACAGTCTTGTCCTTGAGCTCACAGTCTGAAGAGTAGACTGATAATCAAGGACACAGGTTTATTTAAGACCCAAGGCAGGGGTGAGGTAATTGAAGGTGCTCCAGTAATTCAAGGGGAGATAGTGTGACTTCAGGACAAGGCTTCACAAGGATGGTAGCTGAGCTGAGTCTCGAAGAATGAGCAAGAGGTGGTCACGGTGGGGCATGTACAAAATCATAGAATTCAGAAACATTCACAGCATGTAGGTGACTTCTAATGCTTCAGTGTGTGTGGACTCTAGGTCTTGGTGATGGCTAGTCAAATTCTGGGCTACTGAGAAGCAGGGCAGAAGCTGGACTGGAAAAGCTTTGAATGTCATGCTAAGTAATCAGCATGGATCTTACCCTGAAGATGCTGAGAGCCACTGGACATGACACAATATTTCCGTCTGTGGCACTGTGGAGGGTGAGTGACAGGGAATAATACTAGAATCAGGAACACCAGCAAGGAGACCACTGCAATAATCCAGGTTAGAAACTCTGAAGGGCACCCGGGTGGCTCAGTTGGCTGAGCATCTGACTCGTGATTTCAGCTCAGGTCACGATCCCAGGGTTGTAAGATCGAGCCCCACATTGGGCTCCATGCTGAGCATGGAGCCTGCTTAAGATTCTCTCTCTCTCCCTCTGCCCCTTCCCCAACACTTGTGCCTGTGCCACACTCTCTCTCTCTCTCTAAAAAAAAAAAAAGAAAGAAAGAAACTCTGAGTGACATGAGTGAGCAAAGTGAGTGGGAATGAGATAAGTTTAGACAGTAGGATCAACAATGAAATTGGTGGTAAAGCAAAAGGAGGGGCCACGTATGTCTCAGAGTTCCTACCTAGATAACTGGGTCAATGACATAAGTCACTGAGATCAGGGATATAGGAGAAGGGGTTGATTGGGGAGAAGGACAGCAAATCTAATAAATAGTTTTAAGATAAATTTAGTAAAGGCAAGGATAAAAATATAGTAAATTTTTTAGGATAAGATAAAACGATAAAGAGATAGTAAACTCAGTCAAAGTCAGGGAGATGTTCAATAAAAGCCGAATGGTAGACTGGAACTCTGGATAGGGATCAGGGCTAGGGACATAAATTTGAGGAAAATGAGTATGTTAATGGTACCCGAAGCAGGGGAGTATTTGAGATCACCCAGAAAGAGAATATATAAAGTAAGAAGACAGGATAGGGTAGAACAGAAGACAGAGGAACATCCGTATCAAGGAGACGGGGAGAGGAAAAGTTGCTGACAAGCGGTTGAGAAGAACGGCCACCAAGGTAGCGAGAAGACCGGGAAAGGGTGAGTCATGAAAGCCTACGAGGGAGAGAGTCTTAGGAACGAATTTGATTGATTAGAAATTCCAGACCATGCAATGATACAGAGAAAAATAAGAATTGAAAAATGCCCTTTAAATCTAACCTGAATGAGAATGGGTGATACCGTGTTCATCGTGTCCCATGAGAAACTCAGCCAAGATCATAACTAAAGCGTCGATCTCCACTCGAATCCCATGCAGGCTAAAGACACCATCATTGAAAAGCCTTTGCCAGCTCAGGCTTAGGCAGCTCAGCGAACTAGTTCCAAGTCAGGACCCACGCCAGACCGCCAGCCCTGTGTCCGGGCTCAGCACCCATCTGCTGGGGGTTCTGCATGAGCCCCTTGACCTTTCCTGGGCCAAGTACAAATATAAATACAGATGACAATGCTGTCGATCTCCATATAGATACAGATACAAAATAGTTCTACCTCCTAGAATTGTCCTGAGGATTAAAAGTCCACTGCAGGAAGACTAGATAAGCAAAATGTGGTCCATCCTCACAATGAAATAGTAATGAAATGAAACAGTACTCAGCCTTCCAAAGGAAGAAAATTCTGACCCATGACACAACATGAATGAAACTTGAGGCCATTTTGCTCAGTGAAATAAGGACAAATATTGTGTGATTCCACTTACATGAGATCCCTAGAAGAGTCAAATTCAGAGAGACAGAAAATAGAAAGGTGGTGGCCTGGGGCTGGGGGCAGGTTGGGGAGTGGAGAGCTCATGTTTAGTAAGGACACAGTCTTGGTTTGGGAAGATGACAAGAGTTCTACAGATGGACGGTGGTGACGGTGGCACAACGATGTGGATGAACTTATGTTTCTGACCTGTACGTTTAAAAATGGTGGAAATGGTAACTTGTATGTTACATATACTTTATCACAATAAGAATGAAGAGAAGTAGTTAATTTCTAAAGCACTTGGTAACTGTTATACAAATGTCGTTAAATAAATAGACACACAATACATTGGCAGATGCTGACAATGACCCAAGACGGGAGTGAAGGACAAGAAAGAACCCCAAAGAACAAAAGAAAGAGAGAATCCAGTAGAAAGTCATGTTGGGAAGGACCCCATGCAAGAAAAGGAGAGGAAATGAGGTGATACCTCAATGTCAGATGAAAAAATGAATAGAAACAGGGAGGTGCAATCCAACTGCTCTTTAAGAAGCTCAGTAAAAGTTCACTCAACAAATGTTGATAAGGAAGCACCTGCCAGGGGCCAGGCACTCGGCTACGTGCTACCAGCAAACTGCAGGGCGAGAATATGAGAAAATAATTGGCATCACTGTTAAGACAGGCTGTAGGGAGGCACGAAGAGAGACTGAATGAATGATGCCATGAACACTTAATAGGAGTGAGCCAGACAATCAATCTTGTGACTATCGGGGCTCACTGGAAGTTGGAAATAAAATATAATTGCTGTAAGCCATGTTTATACCTAAGTAGAAGCAGGCCTGAACTATGATTAGGCTGATAGCATGCGTCACAAACATGTTCCCTTGCAAGCCTTTATCCGGAAGAGAGGCAACAAGCAGGTGGATGGGAGCAGTGGTCCGCAGACTTTTCAGACATGCCAGCACCTGGGATCCACCGCAGAGAGCCTGACTTGGTCGGTGTGGCCGGAAGCTGGACATTTAGAAACCCTCCAGGTGATTCAAGCATGCAGCCAGGACTGCGAGTCACTGCATTAGAAAGAGCAGTTGTGCCCTACGTGCCACCAATCCCGGGGGACCCCTGAGTCGCAGAAACAGCAAAGGTTGGTCAGGAGCTGGGAGGGAGGGTCGGGAGGAGGGTGCGTTTCCAGGCCTTCAGTAGGGGCCACCTGCAGGCTCACCGAGCGGCTCCTGACAAGAGCAAACCCACCCCACCACTGAGAGCGTTGGCTTCCCAGGGGAAGCTCAGCACCCAGACCCTTGGGGAGGGCCTCTCCCCGTCAATGAGCAGAAATGGCTTCTTATGGGAGCATGACCCACACCAGTCGCTCACTCTGGAAGGAACCCCCCCCCACCTGCCCAGCCAACCAAAGGGTGCTCCCCAGGAAAAAGCAGCTGAGGGTCTCCCTAGCTAAGCCACTCCCCGCTCTTCACCATGTGGGAGCCAGGAGAGGAAAGTGGGGGCGATCCCAAGTACTCACGGCTGAGTGGCCCTGAGGCGCACTGCGGCTTGGGCCTGTGCGTGCAGGTGGCCCAGGAGGCTGCAGAGGGCCGGCTGCCTGGAAGGAAGCTGGAAGTGCAAGCTGCTCTTCTCTTTCTCCAGTTCTTCCAATCTGTGTCTCAGTGCCTCAGCTGGAAACCCAAAACGTGAGAGGGAGGAGTCAAGGTCGATGAAACTCAAAATAGGGAACCCAGCGTCCGAGAGCCCCACCCCCAACCATTGTCCATCTTAATGACCTAACGCAACAGCCCCTGCATTCATGGCCAGCAACTTCATCTCTCAGTCGGTGCTTTGAAGAATCTTCTTTTTAATGACGGCAGTCTCCCTGCGTTTTGTTCTTCCTTGTATCAGAATGTCCAACTTATGTATTTATATCACGATCACCCCATAGGAGGACACATATTAATTATTTTTAAAACCATGGTCTTCGCTTGGGAGAAAACTTACTAATTTTGATGAGTTTCATGTCTTCAACTGAAAAATGTCAGTGCCCAAGCTTGGACTTTAAGGACATTTCCTTAGAAACTGCCCATCATTATAATTATTAAAGCCATAAAAGCGATGTTCCAATTCTATGTTACAGATGACCATATATCCACCTCTGTTATAAAGTAGGGGTCCTATTATTTTTTTAATGACCTTTAGTTTCCCTAGGACAAGGTACAAATACAGAATCACTGTAAAACACTTTTTCTCTAAAAAAGTAAACTTTGGAGATTGGAATCCCTCAAATAAGAACTTACCTTCATAACCAAACACCTAAAGGATGGGAAAGTCTCCCATAAAGCCATTTTTGCAGAAATATAAGGACTGGATTTAAAAATACCAACCATCAGATCTTCCCTCCTGGTGGTCTGTGCCAGGTGAGGGGGCAGAAACTTCAATGGGCTCCACCCTTGGATAGTAGATGGGCCCCAGGGTCCCAGGCAGCCACCCTGGCATGAGCACCTACGGCTTACCCTGGCATGCAATGCAAACGTTATCCTCTGTGTGCGCCATGGTTAGAAAATGTCTGTATGTTTCCGTGCCCTACAGGCCATTTTCCAAGTAAACCATGGTGACTAACATAACATAATTAAAAAAAAAAGTTATAAAAAATATATATAAGACCCAATTTTAAATTAAAACACTGTTTCCAACAAGCTTGTTTTTTTAAAAAGATTTATTTATTTATTTGAGAGGGAGAGAGGGCACATGAGAGAAGGAGGGGGGAGCAGAGGGAGAGAGAAAGAGAGAAAGAATCTCAAGCAGACTCCTTGCTGAACGCAGAGCCGGACGCAGGGCTCGATCTCAGGACCCTGAGATCATGCCCTGAGCTGAAATCAAGAGTCAGATGCTTAACCGCCTGAGCCACCAGGCGCCCCAAGAAGCTTATTATTTTTAAAATGCTTTGGACAAAACTTTTTGTTGTATACCAGCAGAGGTCAACGCTAATCACAGCGCACCCCTCGACACGACACTTGTCTCCTGCTGGCCCCCTCGCAAGGTACACACCTGGGTGGAGGAAAGGCAGGCCTCAGGTGTGGTGGGCAGCAAACATCCTCTCCATTAACTTGCCATATTCATTGGTACCAACAGCCAGGAACTGCCAAGAGAATTTGCCAAGGATTCATTCTAACGGCACCAGAAAGGTTCATTTACTGACTTCAAGACCAAGTCACAGATAAGGGCCAAGGGCTCTCAGTCTGAGCCACCTTCTTCAAAGCGACAGCTGGCGCTAATCCAGACACCACACCTACAACACACAGTACAGTCTGGCCTGGCAGTTCTTCCAGAATAAGGCCAAAACACACCTATTCCCTAACACCGGGCTTCAAACATTTTTTTAAAAAATTTTATTTTATTTCATTTTAATTATTTTTTTCAATTTTAATTAATCAATTAATTTTATTACTTGGTTATTTACTTAATCTGTGCTATATAAAATCAAAACTGCCGTGAAAAGCAGTAAGTGTCTTGCGTTACATGCTTTAGAATGACATCTTCATGCTGCCGTAACGTGGTGGTGAAGCTGTGTCGAGACACTATTATGCAGGAATGAGGACAAAGCCCGCGTCTACAGCTCCGCCCTGCCGTTCCTAGCTGACCTTCCAGCTACTTAACCTTCCTACATTTCAGTTTGTTAATCTGTGGATTCAGGGCTAATAATAATATCTACGTCCCAAGGTTTCCTGAGGATTAAATGAGATCATCTATGGCAAAGCATTTAGTGCCGGGCCCACACCTAGCACGTGTCCAAAGGGTTGGCTATTGTTAGCAGTGCCATGAGGTCGTGGCCTTGGGATGTTGGCAAGGCCGCTAGACACCAGCCTGACCTCCCTCTGCTCCCAGCCGGATTCTCCCACTGCCCAGTGAAAAGCCCTCGGATACTGCAAGTCCATCAAGCCAAACCAAACCCCGGAAATGGTAAATTGGCTGCCAAACACCACACTCACAATGAGTTTCAAAGGCAAATATAAATTATCCCAGTAAATATTTGTGACTCGCTGTGCTCTGCATTGCCATTCACCTTTGAAAGGGTGACATCAAAAGTTATTCCCATATTATGACTGGAAAGGTGCATCAGAACAGTCACCACGCATTCAAGAGCTTATTGTCCCCAAACTCTAAATGGCTACCTACCCCGGCTTTTCAAATGGCTATCAGCTACCTGGGGTTCCACCTCACATGCTGGCATCACCTCTGCCCAGCATGAGGGTGCTTTCTACTCATTCCCCCAAAGTCTACCCCTATTCACTAATTCGATATTGCAGGCAGAGGGAGATCCCAGCCAGGGCAAAGGCCCTGAGGCAGCAAGCAAAGGGGAGAGGGGGCTGGGGTAGGCTTGATCGTCACTAAGGACCGTCTGTTGACCTGGAGGGAGAGGGGAGCCCCTGGAGGGTTTTGAGCAGTGGAGTGACACAACAGACTCTTGTCTAACAGGATAAGCCAGGGACTCCCCTGGGAAGAGACCATCGAGAGCAGAAGGCCCGAGACCAGTGGCATGATCCTTGCAGTTCCCTGGACCTACAAGGGAAACAGGATGGTGGGAGGTGCCAGGGTTTTGGATATTCTCTGACAGATGGGACACCAGGAATGGAAGAAGACAGAGGTCCAAGGGACCCAGTGTTTGTGGCCCGAACAACCAGGACAAGGTGGCTGTGAGCTGAGCTGGGGAATCTGCTGTTCCTTCTGCCAGAAACACCCTTCCCCACAGCGGCCCAGGCAAGCCCTGTTCCCCACTTAGATCTCAGCACCCTCAGGAGGGCTCCCTGGTCTCCATGCCGCCTCAGCACACCCAGACTTCTACCCACATGAGAGCCTCACACTTGCTTCCCCTCGTGTGGGGCCTCCTGTGTCCATGAGAGAAGGACCGTGTCACCATGCTTGTCACTGTGCAAACCACATGGGACCGCTGCCTGGCTCAGAGTGAGCAGACATCAAAAAGTGTCTGGCTAAACTCAAGTTAGGTCCCCTCATGGTGTTTCTTTTGGGTGAGTTTTCTTGAGCCACTTTACATCGTTTTCATTAGCCACTAAATGAGCATAAAGATGAAAAACTCATCACATCTAAAATGAAATCCACAGACTACCTTGCAAGATTTTACTCTACCTGCCTCAGGCGCTGAGCAGGTCCCCGCCGGCCAGGCCTATGGCTTTGGGTTCTTGGACCCGTCACCTCCCATGCCTTCACATCCTGCTGGCGTCCGCCACACTCCTGCCTCCTTCCCCATTTCTACCGCTTCCAGCCAGGCCACATCATCCTCACTTCTGCAGGACCAGTCACCTCCCTGCCTAAAAACCCGCATTCCTCCAGGGGCCAGCAGAGCACCCTGTCTGGCGCTCAGCCGTGTACAAGCCAATGGATGAGTGAACGGACCAAGGAATGCAGAGACACTGGCTGTGTCCCCGGAACCGTGCCGAGCACATCTTCGTCGGCTCAGGCTGCTGGAACAGAGTACCACACACTGGGCGCTTACCCGGTAAACATTTGTTTCTCACACTATGGGGGCTGGAAGCTGAGATCACAGAGCCAGCATGGCCGCGTTCTGGGAAGAGCCCGCCTTCAGGTGGCAGATGGCCAACTTCTTGCTAGGTCCTCATGGGACAAATAGAGGGTGAGCTGGTCTCTTCTTATAAGGGCACGAATCCCACTCATGGCAGCTCCACTCTCATGACCTAATCATTTGCCGACCTCCTAACACCATCCCATTGGGATTAGTCTTCAACATATGGCTTTGGGGGGGCACAAACATTCAGTCCACGCACGCCTCAAAGGGAGAAGAGGGAGAAGCTTCAGCCAGAGTGGCCCACTTTCTCCATTAATATGGGTGGCGTGGAAAAATGTTTCCTCTGGGGGAAAGGAGTGTTTGGAAATGTTTGAAAATAGTATTTTTCACCTCCTAAATGCCATGCTTATTTATTATTTCATGTATTCACTCAATTAACAAACACTTCTGATAGCTCAATATTCCTAGGCTGTAGGGCTACAAAGATGAGCAAGACACACTCCTGGTTCTTAAGGAACTCAGTGACTGGGGACAGGGGTGAGAATTATAAACAGGTCTTTTCTTATCTTCCTGTGCAGAAAAGGTGGCAGGAACCTGCCCCATTGGTAGAAGGGGGCCGTAAAGGAGCACAAAGGTGGTGTGCCCACCAGCACCCAGGGTGCAGGGGGCCAAGGGGCCCCGGGAAGCCACACAGAGGCAGGCAGTGGTATGCTTGGTAGGGTGCCCAGCCGTACCTGAGGACGAGGGACACTGAAGGGAAAGGGGGAGCAGGGGGGAGACCACCAGGAGCACAGGAGATAGGTTACACTAAGAAAGAAATAAACTGATGGAACAAGTAAGTAAATATATGGAGGATGGAAAGAGCCAGGTTCTTAGCACTGGAGAATATACTTAAAATGATGGAAAGGAGTAAGGGCAGAAAGCACTGGCTATGTTGTATTGGAATTGGAAGTACTCGTATGATCTAATGGTTTTTTTAATACAGATACTCACAGATAGAGATGGAAAGAGTTATAGATGTGTGTGTTTGCAGCTACATATATTTTCTGTCTCTACCCACCAAGAAAGCCTAGAAGCAATGATCCCCAGTAGCAACAAGCATACTGAGCACACAGGTCCTGATTTCCGAACACCAAGCACACA